ATGCTATAAATAAACCAATTTTATATCACCTTTTAATTCAAATTAGCAAAACCAATGTGTCCTTGCATATTATATATTCCAAACATTCACGATCTGAATGTGAATAAGTTGAATATCCATTAAAGGATGATTCATTTAGATTAACATGAGAATCCAACTCCACTAAATTACTAGAACCTATGTTGTATATTTTAAAAAGGTTGACTTCTTCTTGGTTCATAAGGATAAAATATAAGATTAATACCAACAGTTCATTTTGAAAGAAATGACTCATTATGCCAGGATCATTAAATAATACTAATCTAACACTACTAGAATATAAAAGAATAGAAAAAAAATTATCTTTTCTGTATAATTTCCTTGGTTCTATTGCTACCATGTGCCTTACACATTCGACTAGATCATATATATATATATATATATCTTTTCAACTAAACATAAGTTATTAAAAGGATCTTATAGACCAACTAAAGCATGAAAGCCAATATCTTTCATAGAATGGATTAATATTTAATGAGTGCATAACCGCATGGATAAGCTCACACTAACCCATCAATTTAGGATCCAATTTAGGATTTTTAATAGGAGGCCTTGAGAAGGAACTAGAATGTAATAATATCAATTCATACAGATAGATAAGAAAAGGTTATCTATTGATGTAAATGTTATACCTATAGGATACAGGTAGGGAAATAGGAAAAAACTAAAGATTTCATAAGTACTTATAATAAAAAAATCAATCTAATTTATTTGGTACCCTTCACTTTGTCATACTCGAACATCGTGATGACCAATTAAAATTTCTTGATTGGAAAAATAACAAATATCTTATATCTTGTTCCTTAAGGAGAAATGTTTAGTTTAAGAAGTTTCTATCTAGTATTATAGTCACTAGAAACCCTAACTGGTCAACAAAGATTCTATGATACGAAACTGGTTACGCGAAAGGAAAGATACTATTAATCTTTAAACATCCTACCTACGATATACTGCATTATTGGTTTTGTCTAAATTACTTAAGAGTTTGTTTATGCTTCATTCTTATGGTCTTCCTATAATATTCTTGATTTTGGTATCAGTGAATATTCGCCTACAAATATTTTCAACTTTGACGTTGGTAAATATTGTGTAACCTAAAAAGTACGGTATTCATGATTATGACGTTAGTGAATAAATCAACAAAATTTGAATTTTAAAAAATTATTTTTTTGATTTTTTATTTTTTTAGGGGCTAGATTTAGCCCAGTCATATGGACTGGGCTGGATCTAGTAGCCCAACCTAGTTACTAGCCTGAACTAGTAACCTGGTTGGCGAACAGGAGACACACATACATGAATAGTTACTGGTGAATTAAAATTCTCATACATAGTAGTAGAGTGAATTAAGTTTATGCATGCATAGAGACGAGAAGAGCTTATCTAATGCAGGGATGAAGCTGGTGCTTGGAGATGAAGATGATGGGTGGCGTCGACTAGGATGAAGCTAGTTGTACTATTGGGCTATTGCTCTGGTTAATACCTGTTTCCAATGGTTTAGGGGTTGCGAGTTAGTGATGCATGTCGGGGTTGAAGATGACTCCACGGTTGTAGCTAGTGCAAGACAACTAGGCTGTTGAGAAGTGTCAGCGAAGAGATTGTTGTGCTGACGAAGAAGAAGTTACACCATTGGTCTACTGGTGTGGAAGTTGCTGGTGTAGAAGGAAGAGGTGCTGCTATTGCTTTTCAAAACTCACTATACCTATGGAAGAAAACGTTGCACTGCTAGAGGAGAAGGAACTACATCACAGGACTTTGGTGTGGTGACAGGTCGTGAAGGAGGAGTGGAATGATAAGAGAAGGAGGCGATGATATCTGTAGGACTTCCACGACAGCAAGAAGAAAAAAAGTGGAAAGTTCAGTCCTTTATTTTTTTGGTGTCTAGAGGTGGGGATGTTTTTCTTTGTATTGAAATTGGAGGTCTAAATCTCTATACTCAGATGATTAATGATGCAGAAGGTTTGGAGGTGTATCATTAATAATCAAGTGTTGCTTTGCCTTTTGAACTTATTGGCCTATAATTATAAAAAGAATATCAAGAAGGAAGCTTGTTGGACCATCTCTAATATAATAGCTTGTTCATGAAATTTTGCAGGTTGTAATTGAAGCAATCAATCCACTTATTCATCTACTTCAAAATGCTAGGTTTGTCATTAAAAAGGAGGCAACATAAGCAATTTCAAATGCTACATCTTGCTAGCCAAGGTTGTATCAAACCCTTGTGTGACATTCTTCTTTGTCAAAATCCAAGACTTGTGATAGTCTATTTATAAGACTTTGAAAGCACCTTTAAAGGTAGGAGAAGCTAATAAGAATGTGAGCAAAAATGGAGGCAAGTCTTTTTGGTGGAAAGGACTAGGGGGTCTCCTCAAGGTAATTATTCTTGCCTTTGTTTTATTCTCTTATATGGATAGCTAGGTTTAGGTCTAATAAATTTTTTTTATATCTTTTATCTTTTTTGTCTTGTCTCCCTAGATTTTCTTATAATGACCTTATCCTCTTGTGCATATACATTAAAATTTGTATTTATAATGTAAGAATTCTATTGTATATGAGAAATAAAATTTTAATTAAACTCATTCTTTCTTTTTAAAATTTAAATTTAATAAAGAATCAAACAAATAACTATTATTATCTTGATAATAAGAAGAGAAGCACATTGTAGTCCCTAGTTTCCTCACAAGTTGACAAATCACGCTTTTCATCAAAATAAATTCATTATATTTTAATTTTAAATTTTAATCCCCATAAGATTAAATTAAAAGTCAACGGGTTAAAATTGAGTTATAACACACTTAATGAGAAAATGGGTCAAATTCTACAACATCAAATATATGGGACTTAAAGAATGATGGAAGAGAATAAAAAAGAAAAGAGAAAGAAGATAATATATAAAATAATAAAATAAATAATAAAGAGCCTATATTCCAAATGAACAAATTCGAATGTTAAAAATACCTTTATGATTCTCAAAGAATGAGGAGCAAAAAGATTGATCGAATAAAATCTCTTGTTCTTATTATTATTATTATATGTCATCTAAAAAGAATTTTGGTTATAGTTTTTCTTGTAATGATCTAGAATGAAATGATACTTGTGATATTTTTAGCTTAGGGTACATTTTATTTGGATGTTTTCTTGGCGTTATATACCATTTGATGAATTATTTTTCATTAGCTTTGGAAGCAGATAAGATTATGACAAGGTAACATTTATTAGATTTTTGAGTTCATGGTATCTAATAAGTCTTTCTAGCCACCTTAATTTTATTAATTTTTGATCTTTTTCATTCCATGCTATTTTTGTTTCTTTATTTTTTTAATTTAAATTTTTTTATTGTATTAGATAGAATTTGATTATGATATTTCAAGAATTTACTAGCTTCTTACGGATCAATGTCACTCCCCTTTTCTATATTATTTATCAAAACAATAATCTTATTATTGCCTATTCTAGTAAAACCGCCCATCAGAGCCATCGTTAACCATTGGTCATTAAGTTGTACTTTTAAATTACTAATATCAATGGCTATGACAATAGATGCGTGATTAGATAATACACCAGTTTTTCCACTATTAGTAGATAAAATAATTTCTTTCACTTTTAAATAAAAAAAATTGATTAATGATCAATACACAAAAACTTAATATAATTTCTTTAAGTTGTTCTCTATTTCTAAGTTTATAGTCTTTGTAATAGCTTAATCAATGTTATCTATCAAATAAAAAGCTTGTTCAAGAAGACTACCTAATTCTCCAGAAAAACAGTTATTTAAGGGTCTTAACTAGTGATCTAGGTTGTTTCTCTCTCAACAATGAAATTTAAGAGTCTTGATTTGATATTACTCTCATAGCCTGTACTGAAACAATTCTTTACCTCTAGATATCCAATCAACTTACGTCTCAACGTATTTTAAAGAGAACTAGCTAGCTTTGAGTTAGAGTGACATTTCACCCCTAATCACAACTCATCTGGTGACGATTTGAACCTCTACTTAGTTTCACTTAAGCTTCATCCTAATGGTGGATAGATCATCTAAATTTACGTCTATAAGTAGATACAATTGCCTATAAAGTCTCACTTTTGCTATGGCTCTAGTGGATTCCCTCAATGAAGCCATTATTTATAAGTTGTTAGCTCATTTTTCAACAGTATGTAATGAGCGCCTCGCGCTCCTTTCACTACTTAAAAGCTTATGATTTTATGTTCTATTTCATTTCGGAGGTTCTTTTCACTTTTCACTTTTTCCTTATAGTATTACTTCATTATTAATAATTTAAAAGTATTTAGCCTTACATGGTGTGTTTTTTCCTATTCACACAAGATCTACATTTACCAAAAGAAACAAAAAATTGATTCATCAAAAGTAATCTATTCCTAAAAGAAATAATAAATAAAATTTCAAAATCAAATTCTATTATTTGGATTTATAAAAGTATATGAATTAAATGAAACTAAAAACAAAAATATTCACCAATTAATAATTAATAATTAGACTATTCATAATTTTTTCACTTCAATTCAATCTATGGATTGGATTTCTATTTATTAACAGAAAAAAAAAGAAAGATTTGAATACTAGAATAAGGACAATAACAAATCAAATAAAAAATTTTATATAAAAATAGAAAAAACAATTTTTAACCTTAAAAAGAAATATTAGTCCTAACAAACCAAGTTATAATGCCATGAGATTAAGATTAAAATCACAAAAGAATTGAAATACAAACAAAATACTCTAATTCACTTTATTGGAATATAAAAAAACATTTAATTATATTTATTATCACTAGAATTTTTTTTGAGTTGTATCATTAACTTTTTATTTGTCCATTGAATTATAAAGTAACATAATTTTTCATGTAAGATTCCGAAAACTAACTAATAGACATGATTGGGTAGAGATAATGCACAAGAGAAGCACTGCTTCCTTACCGAAGTGCATGTTGTGCCAAGAAATCTAAAACTTAATTGCTATTCTTTTACTCATTTAAACCAAATCACTAATAACAACTAAAAAAAAAAAAAAATATTAAATTCCTATCGGATCATGATCTCTCCACCGTTCATTCAAGAAAATTTGCAATGCCTTTCGCCATTTTCACTCAGCCAAATAATCCACAAAAGTATTATCCCTCTACTCATTTTTTACTTGGGTATTGAAGCTCTTTACATCATTTCTCCCTATCAATTCTACGTCCACGCACCTGTCTTCAACTTTCTTTTCCTCTAACAAAATCTCTCTAAACATTTCCTTCAATATCTTCTCTCTCAATTCAACTCCTTTGCGACGTATCTCGTATTTTTTTAAGGCATTGACAATTCTTACGCATGAGGTGCAGACCCATCTGGGTTTTTCAATTCTAGAGGCCAAATTCCATAGGGGATGTTGTACCTTTTTAATGCTGACCCATCTCAGATTTAAACCTGCCACCATAGCCGTTTCTTCTGAACTTCCACTTGGTTCTGGCCTTGGTTCATCTGTTGCACTTTGTGTTGCATTCTCAGCAGCTCTTTTTGCTTGCTCAGACTGTAAATGTGGACATGAAACAAGAAGGGTGGTTAATTTTTGGGGAGTCTAGGCTTTTCAAATCAACAAAATTATTCTAACAAAATTGTTCCATCTTCGTAGAAATTGGTATTTGGAAGATGGCGGCGGCGGCTGCAAGGACAGAGGAATTGAAGAATTAAATTGATAGTTTTCATGTTTGTGAAATTGGAAAGATGTGGTATTTTTGGGGGGTTCTAGACAAAGATATAGATTAGGGTGTGTGTGTGTGTGTGTGTATGTATTAGGGTAGTTTGATTTTTATATTTAAATTTAAAAATTAAATTAACAAACTAATTTCTGAAAGAATAAATCATTACAAAAATTTAACTTATAATCAGAAATATTCAACAAAAAGTGAAACCAAGTTGTGACTAAAGCAATACAGTTAGAAACACATACTTGAAAACAAAGGTGAAAAAAAACTCATCAATCAAATACCAATTCAACCTAAAAATAACTTCCTCGCTAGCCGCAATCTTGTTTTCCGCTTAAAGCCATCACAAAGAAATTTTCTTGAACATGTGACAACGAGGATGGAACAGGATTAGAGAACGAGAACAAGAAAGCAGGACAGCAGATTACCTCAATTTCTTTTCCTTTTAATTGCTTTTTTCAAGCAGTGTGGGACTTACCGATAGTAACAGTAGATAAATGCAATCTTCAATAGATAAGTTACAAAACCAAAATTCTGTCCAAGAAGAGCACCTTCATTATACCTTTTTGAAATTTTCTACAAAGAGCATTGTTATTTACCAGCAATGATGACTTACAACTGCAAGGAGGCAAAACAAAATGGTCAGTAACATATAAACACTGGTAGGTTTTATGCACACAAGAACATGTACTTCATGGCAACATTTCAACTCAACAAAGCCTGGTACTATTTGATTAATGAAAGACAGGTTTAGAGCTCCAAGTTAAATAGTGAATTTCTCATAACCATTCACCAATGTGCAGTTAAACAGAAACTAGGAAAAAAAAATACCTATATAAATCCAGCAGGGATCCACCGTAATGGTCTAAATACAGAGAAATCTATATCTTCTTTGCTAATTTCATACCAATTAGTATCCTCTTTGCTATTTGTTTCATTCCTACAACAATGCTTGAACACTGTACAGAAACAGCTCTTACTGTTTTCGTAACAAAGCAATTACCAAAGTTTCATTTCAAACAGTTGTTGAATAAGAACAAGAGAAGACACAAAATAGATACTACAGGAGGTCATGACTGAACATCCACTAGAAGTAGCATATATGCTCACTTGATTTGTTGAGCTCTTACTATGTTTTACATGCACAAATATGTTTCATCCATACCCATGTGCATAAAAACTTTCACATGAAACAAAAACACAGGCAGTTAGAGTGCAGAACTGAACATGAAGATGGGTTTTGTCTTTTGATCTGAACTTGCATTGCAAATGTTACAGAATCTTTTACCCTCCTGCACACCACGCCTGGAGACATTTAGTGACAACAACCAGTCAAGGAGAAACGTAGAAGGAAAGTATGAACTTCCACAAATGACTTCTTGAAGGCTAGGCTAAGTTTGTGCTTTGGAAAATGAGACGTGTTTGTTAAATTTTAACTTGCATTACAACTCTATCAAACAAATGAAACTTTTATTTCCTAACTCGGTGTAATAATGAGAATTCAGCATGAGAGAGGTTTGATGAAGTAAAACTTTTATAGAATAGCAGAACTTTTGGGTGTGCCTTGATCTTTGATGGAGTGAAACCAGACAAATGAAGGCCTTCCAAGCTCCTTACTCGGGAAAGTGCCACATAGACCATTCCATAGCCAAAAGCCCTTGAGAGATCTGTTTGAGCATGATCAAGAGTCATCCCTTGGCACTTATGTATGCTGATAGCCCATGCTAATATCAAAGGTATCTGATATCTCCAAGCAACTACAATATCTCCCTCAAAAATTTCAAATTTTTGAGGTTCAATCAAGAGCTCAGGTCCACGATCAAATTTAACTTGTGGGAAGAGAATATCAGAATTTCTAGCATTTTTATCCTCTAAAGGAACAAATCCTGTAACTGTACCAGTGGCACCATTACAAAGATTACGTTCAATATTCAAATTCATGATCAACATTACCCTTGCACCAACACAGAGTACAAGTTGGTCAGGTACAATCCCTTGGTTGAGTTGTTTCTTCCTATGTTCGAGGCCACTATCAGCAGCTGCATAAGTTACAGTACTCTCACCCAAGCTTTTCATTCTCTCCTCATTTACTTTCTCCACATCATTAATTCTCGGATAGAGCCAGACTACCAAAGAATCCTGCTTGTTCATGGAGCAAGATTCTTCTAGAAGCTGCAAGTCCTCTGCATCAGTCTCCCCTTTCCTTATTCCCTGAAGCATCTTGATAAGCCGAGGGTCTGACTGCCTAAAAACCTGAGTAAGCTCAACCTGCAGGTCAAAGCTTGCATTCCAACAATCAGCTTCAAATGCAAATTCTTTGCCTGATAATTTCTGTTGTTTGATAACTGGTGGTAGCTGAAAGAAATCCCCACAGACAAGAAGCTGTATTCCACCCCATACCACCTCCGATCCCCGTATATCTCTAGCAATATATTCCAGGCTCTCGAACAAATCAGCACTGATCATACTAATTTCATCTATAACCAATGCCTTCGCCTTTTTCCATCTTTTGCAAGCATGCTTATTCATTTTAACCTTATCCAGCAAAGTTCCAGAGTCAGCATTTTGGATTCCAATGCTAGCAAAGGAGTGAAGAGTTTGCCCTTGAAGTGCACAGGCAGCAATTCCAGTGGATGCCGTGACAAAAACCTTAGACTTACCATGAACATCCTTCAGAATGTCGATAATGTGCTTAAGCAAATCTGTCTTTCCAGTTCCGGCGGAGCCCGTGATAAACACAGAAGCACCTCTTTGAACATGAGAAAAAATATTTTTTTGTTCTTGGGTCCATTCAAATAAAGGTTGGTGGGTTTTTTTGGCCTTGGGGATCCTATTGGTTTCCTTCTTGATTCGATTCTGGCAAACACTTTGAGCATATTTTGTGGTTCTGCTGCTTTGAGTGCTAAAACTTCTTCTATATACAGCTATTATTGCAGAGCTAAAAAACTTCATACTTCTAGCGCATTCAAGCTTTTCTTTACATGCTGAAATTTAAAACAAAAAAAAAGGACATATTTTATCAACAAACCCTTATATACAACACCAATAGTTTTATTCCCAATATCTCTATCTAAATTGAAGGGTAAAAAAATACATAATAATTTGCAAAAGAATTACCTGAAAAGTTAGTGTCTACGAGCGTTATCACACGTCTGCTTCTGATAGAGAAGGAGCTTAGACTCGGACCTCAATGGTTCAAGGAAGCAAAACGGCAGCAAAGCGAGCATAATCGCACACCTCTCTCTTTTACAAAGAAAATGAAATGTGAGAAGCCACCGATCTTTAAGATCAGACCAAGGTGGTTAAGCCCGTTTTAAACGGGCTGTGGGCTGTAGTGGTGGTGGTTCAATAAACTTGGCTAAGGAATTGGGACACATGATTAAAATCAGCACGTCCTTATCATATCAGTCAAATTAATCCATATAAATAAAAAGAATTACAATTAATCCTTTTACCACATGAACTGATACATTATAACAACTGAATGTCCCTTTGAATTTTATAAAATTATTTTTTATTTAAAAATATATTAAAATAATATTATTTTTGTTTTTAAAAATTTAATTTTGACATCAATATATCAAAACAATAGACAAACCATAGAGAAAATTAGTTTAAAATAAAAAAATAATTTTTTTTATTTTTTTTAAAAAGCTTTTGAAACACTAAAAAAAACATTGTCCCTCCTACCCATAAAACACCATGGATTACAAGTAATCCACACTGTTTTGTTACTATATATATATATATATTAATTTAATGTTTACATTATGTATTTATTGGTATTTTGAGTTGAAAATTTATTTTAGTTTCCTTTTGTATATATAATTTTTGTGACATCAAAATAACATCTTGGCATGATTAATTTTACAAAATATTGTTTTAGTTTTTTATTTTTTTAAAGATTGAGGGTCAAGGGACTAGAATTGAAGAATAAAAACACATTGAGGCATAAAAGGGATAAATGAGTAAATCGATGAAGAAAACTAAGGCAACATGATAGTGAAATGAGAGAAAGAGAAAGGAAAGAAGAATGGGTGGTTAGAGACACCTGGAACCTCTTACTATTACTATTATACGCATCACTTTGTACAACCTCTTACTATTATACGCATCACTTTGTATGGCATTGGACACCTCGATAATTCCAACAATATCGAATAAGACACCAATTAGAGAATGAATTAAAGTTTATGCATTGCCCAAAAGGTAGAAGGTTTATGCATTGCCCAAAGGTAGAAGGCCTTCTTCATATCCTTGCGCGTGTAAAACATGTGTCAGATATTTTTTTTTTAATTTAATTTTTTAATTTTCAAAATCTTTTCAATTCACTACTAGATTTTGTTTTTTTAGATTTGTCACTGTTGCGATGTCGCGGTCGCACAAATTAATTACCCTAACTTAAAACACACAAGATAGTATAGAGCAAGCAAGGGATCGATCCCACGAGGAAGATTTAGTTCAGATTTTTATGCTATACGTTATGCAATTGGGGGGTTTTGATTTGTGATAATCTAAAATATGGAAGAAATTAAATTAGTGAACACGATCAATTAAAACTGAAATTTATCAAGAAAACAAACCTTGGTCACAAGCACACATCCACCTACAGAAATCAGAACTGATCCTTAAAACGAAACTCCAGTTTATATTCTGAATTTTTATCTTTTCTTAACTTTGGTTAATTAACGGATCCGCCGTATAACTAGCCCTAACCAACAAATAATCACAGTGTCCGCACTAATGATTTAATCTAATGGCAGCCTTAAGATCTAGATAAATTCATTAATCTTAACAACCAAGTTGTCTGCTTGTGTTGCTTTGATCGAATGTTTTCCCTAAGTTTAATAACGTAGTTCCGCCACAATTATCAAGCTTAGTTGCTTCACAAGTTTATATACCCTAACTCCGGTTCTGATATCAAACTTAGCAATAGATTGTTCACAATAATAACTTAGAGTCCGCTCTAGCAATTATCAACAACAATCATAGAAAACATGCATAGGAAAACAATCATACCCATTCATAATACAAACTGAAAATAAATGAAGAATAAATCTCACAGTTCTTGAAATCTGAAAGTTTCTGCGTCCTTGCAACCAAGAAAAGAGCTTAGCCTTGCATATCTATTGAACAACTACTCCTAAAGATAAAAGAAAGCATTATTTCTAGTATGTAGAGAGGAGAGTTTGTGTTTCTTCACTTCTAGTTGCTACCACCTTTCTTTGATTCTATTGCACTCCCTCCTCCTCTTTCTTGGCTCTCTTGATGTCTATACATAGGCTTCAATGGCAGCTCCTCTTGCTTCTTTATCAACAATGGTGGCTGCCAAACTTGCCAAACTTTGACATTAGTAGTCACCACAAACAACCCACCATTGTAGCCTCCTTCTTTGACAATGACAGCATTCCAACTTGCAGCTGGTTTGTGGTTGGTGATTTGAGGTTGGTGGATTGAGGTTGGTGGCTACTTTTCTTGACCTTCTAGATTGATTTACTAGAGGGGCTAAATTGCTGAAATTATAACTTGGATGATAGTTTAGAAGCTTCGAAACATAATTTGGACTCATTTCTTCACGAAACCTGATTGCTGGCAGAATTCAGTTGTCATCTTTGAAAAATCATATCGCCCTCATCTGACATCGTTTTTGGCTGAAACTTGGACCGTTTCTAGACCTTTGAGTCAGGAATCCAAAACAATTGAGGTTGCATCAATTGGACTTCTATAGCTCCAGATATGGAATTTTGAATGGACAAAGGTCAATAGTGGCAGAATACGAGATTTGACTTTGAAGGATGTGATTTCCATGATCTTCCTCTTTGTATTTTTCTTGCATTACATTTCCAGAAAGGTATGGATGTTAGCTTTTTAGAGCCACTGGAATCACTTCATTTTGATCTCTAGAAATCACGCTCTGCACAAAACATCGACTGAACATCAAATCTGCCAATTATCTCCAATTTACTCCTTTTTGCATTTTTCATCCAAAAGTGCCTTCAAAACATAAAACAAAGAATATCAAGGCATTTTACATATAAAAACATGGACAAAACATTAGGTAAATGTGGGTGATACAATCGAATAATATGGTTACATCAGTCACTTTTCTCTTCTTCTTTTAATTCATTCCTTTAATTTTTAAAATATCTTTGATTTAGTCCTAAATTTTTTAATATATTTTTATTTCATGTTTTTTTTTTTAATTTCATCCATCAATATTGAAATGATTGAAAATTGAACTTTCTAATTTATTTCTTTTTGTTTCACCTTTCTATAGGGTTATTGTGGTGTCAAACAAACCTATTAACATTGGGTTGATTGATATTGTGACTGCCTATTTTTTTTTAATATTTAGTTAAATGAAAAATGGTTTTGGAAAAAAACCAACAAATTAGAATCTAAGGGGTTAATGATTCGATTTGCGAGTTTAGGTAACTTGAGTTGCGTTGGTTTGCAGGTTTGGTGGGGTAACTTTTTTATTCTTTTTTTTCTTAAATGAACTCAATTTTTTGATTTTGTATTTTTTATTCAGGAAAAAAACATGTTATTGAACTTTATAAAGTTCAAGGACATATTCACGAGTTTAATTTCTCTTTTTTACTTGTCTTTTTTTTTTAATTTTATCATTTGATATTGGATTCACTAGAAAATGAGTTTCATAATTTGTTTCATTTATCTTTCTTTGAGGTTATCGTAGTCTCCAAAAAATAATCTCGGTATTTAGTTTGTGCTTCATTTTGCGACGATTTGTTTTTATTATCGTATAGTTAAATAAAAAATAGTTTTTTTAGGGAAAAAACAAGTTATTTTTCCTAAAGGAGTTCATGAACTAGTTCATAGGTTTGACTTATTGACCTAAGCTACCCAATTTACGGGTTTGACAAGATTACCCATTGAACCTGATATGTTTTTTATTAGTTTTTGGTCCTTTATTTTTTTTTATTTTACCCTTCAATATTGAATTGTTTGAAAAATAAATTTCATGATTTATTTTTTTCTACTTTCTATAAGGCTATCATGACCTCTAATAAACATTTATTTTAGGGTTGATACTTGATTTTAGGTCAACTTTCACACAATTTAATTGAAAACTTGAGCTAGACAATGATTCGGGTCGAGATGTTTTAAGATTGACCTGATCGACTAGGTTTAATGACATTGCAATTTTCCACGTTCTTGATATGTTTTTTTTTTACATTTAAAAAGAATTTGGCTCAAATCATGGCATAACTCAAGCCAATATATTGGTTTTAAACTGAATGATAAGAATTGCTAATTAATTAAATATTAAGATATGTCAAATTCTCATTAAAAGTCTGCATAGTCTAGTTTAAAATATATATGGCCAATTTTATCTTTCTAATATAGAAAAAAACTAGATCTTTGCTCTCGTTATGCAATAGGTTAGATTATCTTTTTAACATAAAAAATCCAAGTGTTTCTAATATGTTTTCTAGTAGAAAAAAATTTAAATTGTATAAAGGTTGACCTGATATAACCAGGTCAACTTGATGAGCCAAAGATAACCCAGAACAATGTTGATGAAAATGAAAATTTTCATAATTTTTTCTCCTTTAATGTGTAGTTTTTATACTCATTATTCTTCTATTTTGATTTAGAATGCAAACAAAGATGTTAAGGTCAAAATAAAGCTAATTTTAGCTTTGTAATCTAGACATAACTCTCCTACTTTTGCTTTGATTGAGATGATTAAAGATGCCATAGAACACTAAAGAAGAGATTTACAACTTTTATATTTTAAGTCTTAAGAGATATTGGCCGTATTAAGGTTGAAATCAGGCATAAAGTTGCTGCACCTATACTGCCGACATGCTATAACATTCTTTGGCTTATAAATATTATACATAGACTTTGATTTATTTTTGAAAACTTCCAGATTTAGTGCATGAATTCTAGCTAAAAATATTATTTTTCTAGTTGTATCATGACTCTACTTTATTATTTAATATTTTAATTAATTAGTCAGATTAAGTTAAGTTGTTATTATTTAAGGATAATATTTATTATATTTTTAGGATATTTAGAGGGCTTCTTTGACATGATAAATTGACTTTAAAATGGGACAAAACCATTAGAATAAGGATATCTCTTTGAATTGACTTTAAAATGGAACAAAACCATTAGAATAAGGATATCTCTTTTTCTTCCCACTTCCTTAACAATTGCTTCAGGTTTTCATTATGGTTTTGACTAAACTTTTATAATTGATTAAAGGAGACAAAACCTTAGAATTAATAAGACGGTGAGATATGATTTATTTTTGTT